TGGGAGATCATGAGCTCTGTTTCCTAGTGCTTTGGGGGGTTATGAGAGCTCTGGTTTTAGGGGAAATACGGTATCAGTAGTGGGACTCAAAAGACTAGTTTCCCATAGTTTCTGCCTGATGAGCGTTGGTTCAGAGACTTCCTGCAGAGACAGAGTGAGGCCTGTGCCCCCTGCCCACATCCACACAGAGCTGTTGTTCTTGGCTTCCATAGATTTTTCTTAAGCTCTTGATTATAGTTTAGCCAGACTTTTCTTGTTCTCATATAAGCAGTTAAGAATTAGGACATGCCGGTTCCGAAGGGCAGAGACTCCAGTCCAGCGAGGGTCCTCTTGCCTGCTTGCTTTGTCTTTGTAACCAAGCACTTCCTCTTGCCCTCCCCCTTTAACTTTATGGGGAAACCACAATAGCTCCACCCCTTCTGGTAGGAGATGGGGTTTGGTTAGTTTGCAATAAGCACCATGCAGTGGTTTAAGCCAACTGGTCCTTAGGCTCCATCCCAGCCTGTCTGCATGGACTCCAGCCTGGCAGGCAGCATGCAGAGCTCTGCAGAACTCCTCCTGTGTTTACACGACCGCATCGGGCAATGCCATTCCTCCCTACCATGGAACTTTCCACCCAAGATGTCTTATGTGGAATACCAGCAATTAGGCAACACCCACATGTTTGGGTAGGTGGGTCGGGGGAGGTCCACATTGACTACTTTTTTAAAAAAATAAAGAAACACCAAAGAAAGCTGTGGGAAGGAACTACCCCATCCCCCATGGGACGTACAGGTGGACATGGCTGTAACTAGAGCATTAGAACCCCATTCTTGGAGCACAAACATGGGATTTTTCAAAAGCCAGCTCTGCCAGAAAGGGGGAAGCTGTCACTAAAAGCTTTTCTTTGTGGGCAAAACGGATGCCATGATGCCTTCCGTGGCTGGCTCATCTATGGACCAATGTGGTGTAAGCAACTGTGGTCTATACCTGTGGCCTTGTAGGAAGCACAAATCCTCCCTCACTTTTCTCTCCCTCTGCCCCTTTCCACCTCCCCTGTTCTGGGTTGCCACAGGTCACCAGAAGCATTATTAAGTCCCTTGTTGGCACTTGGGGCCACAGAGTCCATCTCTCTGCTGGTCTAGCCTTTCCATGGGGCGGTACTCCTGTCCTCAAAGTCTTCCTGGAACTAGAAAGAGAACACCTGCACAAGTAGACAGCAAGGCAAAGCCTGTGGCTCTCATTCTTCTTCCAGAGGGGGCCTCCCATTGCCCATGGTGGAACCTGGACCTCCACTTGCTTCCAAGGTGCTAGGGAAGGTCTCGAGGTTGTTGGTTCTTGTCTTTTCTCCAGCTTCATGGGCTGAGTTTCATGGGACTTGACTTTTCTATTCTGTGATCTATCCAATGCCCGATGCTTCTGTTTGATTCCTGATCCTTTCTACTATGCATTTTCCTTTTATCAGGTGTACAAAGTTAAATACTGTGTATTTATCACTTATAAGTATATGAACTTAAAAAATAAGCCTTTGGTGTTTTTCCACAGATGATTAAGCTTCTCTGTAAACTTGAAATAAACAGACAGCAAAATGGTGCAAAGCCTGGGCCTCCTGGGATTCTGTGATTGGTTGCTGTTTATTTCGGGTGTCTGTCCTTATGCTTGTTTCCTTCCTTAGGCTGACAGCAGGTCAGATGCCCAAGTCAAGACTAATGTAGCCAGCAGATCCCTGATTTAAG